TACAATATCATTTAAATTCTAAGAGTATATTAAATTAATTGCACTTATCTAAAACGATGAAAAAATATATTATTCCAAAAAATTAAATTTATTATTCCTAAAAATTGCATAATTGAATAATTGTTGAGCAGGTAGGAGACAGACTTATCAAGGGCAAGTTGCCCCCAAACCTAACTCTTCAGTTACTCAATTCGTGTTTCGTCATCCATATAGGCAAGGGTAAAAGTAAAATTCAAAATTAAAAGTAAAATCAAATGCTGTGAATTACAAAAAAAAAAAAAAAAAAAAAGAAATTTAAACAGTGGAATTTTGAGAAAAAGCAAGTAAATGACTAGAGTAATTAATTAAATTAGTTAAATGTATTTTTTAATAAAAATAGTTATTTTAAATTTTCAAATTTTAGTGAATTAAATTAGCAATACCATTTAGAGTCCCAGTTTTTAAAAATTTTCCTGCCCAAAAATTGAGTTAAGAATTTTTACTTTAAAAATTCACTGTATTGTAGGTTAGCTCCCTCTTTACTTTTATAGTGGCTCGTCTCAATCACATAAATTTCCATAAATGTCATTCTAGCAAATGACTTACTTGTAAAGTTAGGACTATGCCTTTTAATATCACAGCCACAAAACAACTCCCCTTTTGAAAAACATTTAATTGCTTATATCTTATCTCATGTAACACTTGCAACCTTAAATATGTAGGATAAACCCAAAATAGTCTTAATATTAGAATTAAACAACCACAGAGCACATATTAAAAAATTCACTACTACCAATTTTAACACGCTTAATACAGCAGAATTAGAACATATTCAAATACATGATTTCAGCAAAATTAGTATTCAAATTTTGGACATTGTCCCTGAATACAAAGATAAATTATTTCAAGAGTCACTCTACATGCTTAAATTCCAAAACTTTATCCCTATGGGCTAAATACATTTAACCAATACATTAAATTAAATTCTTAAATTCCAAATTACATCATTTTAAATTATTCAGTAAAAACACGTTACGAGGGGCAAGAGCAGGTAGTAAACAGAAAAATAAATTATTTTCTACAATAGATACAGTAAAGTTAAACGGTAATATTATTAATTATGTTCTAACTGAAAATTTCACCAAAACTTTCATTACTTGGTTGCATACTTGTAAACACAAATTCTTAAATAAACTTGTAAATTTTGTTCAACAGCAATTTACGGAACCCAATATTATCAAACACCTTGTCATAGATTTTTGCAATTTTAAATTCTCTACCACTAACAAGTGCAATAAATATTACTGCACAATCAACTTCCTACATCCGAACGATGACAATATTCAGTTCTACAAAATTTTCAGAAAATGTCAACAACAATTTCCAGCTACTAAAGTACAAATCTCACCAGCTTTCAAGTATCAAAAACCTCTTAGCATATTGCTAATTAACCACCATGATCCAGCTTCTACAGCCCATTGATACTGCAAAGAAACTTCTATATAAAGACTACGTAGACGAGTTTCATAAACATATTGTTACTGGCAATTTAACAATAGTTAAAAACCAGCTTTTAAGAAATTTAATGAAAAAAAAGGCACAAAATTTCGACCTGTACTGAAAATTGGCAAAAATCAATGCTTTAGAAGTTTCGAAAAAAATGTTGACGAGTTCATAGTTAAAACTAGTTGCAAATTAAATATTCCAAATTCTGCCTTTATGGCTTGGAAACATGAAGTGTTAGAAGAAATGAAGCAAAGAATTCAAAGGACAGAATTTAACAGCAATTTACTATGGAATTTTTCTTAGTCCTCTAATACAAGATTTGAAGCAAAAATTCGTAATCACCAAAATTGACAAAGCCAGTGATAATTTCAGCATTATTTGGAATTTTTTTATTTCTAGTTGATACTGAACAGAAAACTGTCATTACTTACAAATTTACTAATACGCAAGAATAAGTCATAGCAAAAAAGCTTAAAGCAATTCATAAGAAACTTCTAATTACACAATCATCTAACTACAATAGATTAGCAAATCTTTATGCTCTTCCAAAATTCCATAAACCGCCACTCAAGTTTAGATTTATAGCAAGTGGTTCAAATAATTATAAAAAGAATATAGATTACATATTTGCAATTAAACTTTAAAAAATTTGTATTTTAATTTATCAACTAATTAACAAGCAACACAACTATTGTTGGATTATTTATAATAACGCTCCAGTTCTCAACAAATTTGAAAGTTTAGAAATCAAGAACGTTAACTGATATGATTTTGAAAACCTTTATACTTCTCTACCGTTGGACGAAATTTATACTAGTTTAATGCAACTCCCACAACTTTTTCCTGACATGCTAAGCATCCTCTGAATTGAAAGATGACAAACTTACCTGCAATGTGCATTATTTCATAATTACATTAAATTCAATGATAAGATCTTCCAGCAGGTGAAAGGAATTCCAAGGGGAGAAAACAGTTCCACACAAATATGTAATCTATTTCTTTTTGCTAATGAATATAAATTCCAACTTAGTTTAAATAACAATGAATTAAATTTATTTGTAAATACATTCAGATACATTAATGATATTATAAGTTTCAATAATAATTCTGCTTTTGAAAAATTCAAAATTTACCCAGATAGTTTAACACGTAATAGAACTAATACGAATCAAGATAATATTGAATACCTAGACCTGCTCATAATTAAACATAACAAAAATAAATTACATGATAAAAGGAGGACATTCCAGTTTGAAACTATTAAACTAATTAATTGGAACTCTAATATCTCTAAAAAAGTAATAGGTAACACTTTTTATAACCAAATAATTAGAATTAAAAATATATGCACTGAAATAGAAGATTTAAAGGAAGAAATAATAAAACTAATTAATGTTCAAGTTAATAACCAGGTCCTAAAAATTTTATTAAATTCTATATTAAAAAGGCAAGTATTAGCATTTCTTTTTAATTTTTTAACTCTTTATGGTATAATAATATTACCTTAAACCTTAACTGGAGGGTAACGGAGGATTTTGAAGAGTTAAGGGATTATTTGCAAATATATTTTGTAAAAATGTATATTTTATCAATACTGGATTCTTTCCTTTTACTAATGAAGGGCCAACTCTTTTCAAAAGTCTCATCCGGAATTAAGTGAAGATTCTTATCTACTTTTTCTAATTTCCTTACCTTTGGCCAGTATTTAGTTAAAGTTTTGATTGAACTTGTAACTTCAGTTTTAAATAATGCAGTCTAGTACAAAAAATTTCTTACAATAATTCTCTATTTCAATTCGTAATTTTCTTTTCCAATTCCAATTCAATTTAAATTTATTCAATTCAATTAAATATTTATTCGAATTCAATTAAATTATTTATTCGAATTTTTATTTTTACTAATTTTTTTTTTCAAATTCTCTTTAGTTGTTTACAACTTTTATTTTCACAAGCATTAGCAGTGCATATTTTTTACTTTTTACACTTTTTAACAATGACTCAAAGTTGGCAACATTTTTGCACACTAACAAGCATTTTACATTTCACATTTTTGAATTTACAACATGGTTTTTACAATAACTCTCACAGGTAGCAGCTTTACACTCAACTTTAGACTGTATTAGAGACCTCTATTTTTACAGTTAGCAGTACAAACTACTCAACTAGTTTAGCAAATGCTGGCACAGCTCAGAAATTCAAATATGTATCTAGGTAAGTTAAATTAAAACTTGCTATTTACTAGCCTTTTTATTATTATTTGTATTTTTAATATTTTAATTGTTGAATATAGTTTACTTTAGATTTACATGCATAATTCATGTTGGGGAAGTTTCCTGTAGGCAAGAGTTTCTAAATTACTTTGGTTTTTTAAAAAAATTAGTTTTCTACTCTTAATTGATTTTTAATAAATTTAATTAATTACTGTAGTCATTTACTTGTTTTTTTCTCAAAATTCCACTGTTTAAATTTCTAAATTTCTTTTTTTTTTTTTTTTTTTTAAATTTTACTTTTACCCTTGCCTATATGGATGACGAAACACGAATTGAGTAATTGAAGAGTTAGGTTTGGGGAAAACTTCACCCTTGATAAGTCTGTCTCCTTCCTGCTCAACAATTATTCACTTATGCAATTTTTAGGAATAATAAATTTAATCTTTTGGAATAATATATTTTTCATGGTTTTAGAAAGTTCAATTAATTTACATATTCTCTTAGAATTTAAATGATATTTTAAATTAGTTCACAGCAATAATAATTATTATTATTTCTTTGCAATTAAAATTTCTTAAGTAAATTTTTTATTCTAATTTTATATTTGCTTTATACGAATAGAGAATATTTGTTATATATATATATATATATATATATATATAATACACACACACACACACCACACACACACCATTGATAGATGTATTATATATAACACTGATAGGCGTAGATATAGATACACAACAATGTCGACACTGTTGTCTATATATGTATATATATATATTTAAAGATATTAGGGCTATTTCTCAGTTATAAGATAAATATGACTCAGTTTGCCACGGAAAGAACCTCGACTAAAATTAACTATTACTAGACAGACTGGCTGTTATCAAATGCTTTGTCTTATTTAATAAGAAAAGCTGCCAATTTTCGAGCTGAAAAAATGTTCCGCTGCTAATGTATTTTCTTGTATTCTATTATTAGAAGCGAGTGGTTGCTTTTAATTCCACTTATGAGTGTTAATACTTCACGTGTGAAATATTCGAGCTCTATGCATTTTTAAAGATTTTGTGATTTAAAACTGTAAGACAATGGCATACGAAAAGAGCATGCATGTGACGATTAGAATATCATTTACTTCGTTATAAGACGAAGCAAGAAGAGCTAAAAAAATATGAGTTCTGAAGCTCTTTTGAACCTTAATGTCCGATTTTACAGTTTCTGAGAAAGAAACATTTCATTATATTTTTTACTCTTTGCGATCTTCAAAGAAAATTTACTGATATGTTTAAACTATTAGTCATACCTGCAATGAGCTGACATTTCTGGTATTCTAGTACTTCCCTAATGCTTGGATCAAGAACTCCAGTGTCTCTTTTTGGATGAACAGGATTCAATGATTTTGCTTTCTTAAACTTATCAGACTCTCCATTTTCATCACTCTCTTTCTAAAAAAAAGAAGAAATACATTCTTGCTTTATTCACAAACTTGGATATATTTCTAAGACGTATACATAACGTCATCAATGAACTAAAGCCACATTTAATATAGCTTCATTAACTTTTAACAGGTGAAGGTACATAATTTATATTTTAAACTTATTTACTTGTTTTACATATTATTCAGGCAAATTATGAAATCAATCGAAACTTTTTGAGTTATATTAGAGAAATATTCTTAAAATTTAAAACTCTTTAAGCAGTTATAAGTTAGATTTCATTAAACACTTAACATACATCTTCTCGAAATATGCTGTAAGAAAAGATAATTTTATTCATGAGATAGAGATTTTAATAAAAATATTGTCTTATTTTTTGTGGATGGCATTGATTTTATACTTGAAAGTTCAAACTGTAGTAAGCGAAGACACTATGTATTCGTTTGTGCAGTTATAATACATGTATACATAGCTGTGATAAAACTGAAAATAAAGACCAATAATTCAATTAAAAATAAATAGTTTAAATACACGAATTCAATTAAATTAAAAAAGCGATTTCACATTACCTCGAATTTAATGACATTAAAAGATGTTTTTACGTTGTTTTGAGAATTGACACTATGATTTTAGTTGTTAATGGTGACTGGCTATTATGCCGATAGTCGCGGATTCAGGTTTAATCTAAAGCTTGTTGCTTGCTTTGTCTCTGAATGTGTTCTCGAAGGCAAAAGAGTGAAATGAGTGAGGGTTAGGCTACCGCTTGGAGAATGCCAAATCGGCAAGTCCTTGGCTGTTGAGAGGAGTGCATTTTGCCGACAGAAGATTAATTTCAATAATTCAAAATTTTGAAGGCTAAATTAAGTTAATTTTTAGTTTGCAAGTTTCGAATTATTTATTCATAAGCTTTCTATCAGCCACTTACAAATGATAAGAAATTAAGAAACAGAGAATATCTCTTAGTTTAGAGATGATAGATCTACCTTCGACGCTGAGACATTCCATACTGGATTTCCAGATGATATATCAGTTTATGCAGCAGGAATAAAGTATAAATGAACTCCTCTTGAAATTATTAAATAACCGCACATAACTATTGCCATTTCTTTTATTAAAACCTTTTGTTTACTCTTCTGTTACGATCTAATTATAGTAAGAATAGAATTTAGGCCAAGACTCACAGAGATAGCCAAATTTTATACGAACTACTTTTTGTGGATTTGCATTTTACAAACTCTAGGTGGAGATCTTCAATTTCCGGTTGCTTCTAAAGTGTAAAATGGCGGGATGTTCTGATTATTATTAAATAAACTGTTTAACATATCAACATGATGGTACCCCACCAGTGGCCGAATGGTTAAAACTTCGGAATGCTAAGAGTTTGACTCGAACTCTACCAACACATGCTGACTGCATGTTTGATTTTCGCGGCTTTCCCCATGTGTGATGTGGATATCAGCCAGCTGCCTTTAGAAAGTCCCCGACGACAGCATCCCTTCTAACCAGACTGGCCTAATTTTCTTTGATATTCAAATAACCCAACCACTTAATCGTAGTAATAAAACCCCAACAGTGAAGATCAAGGTGGCGATATCAGTAAGTTCAAAGAAACCACTGAAGTTAGGATCTTGGTGGAATATCCACGCCAAGATCTAAATAAAATTGAAAAGTTCATATTATTGGGGAAAAGTGCGAAAAATACGTATCTCTTCCCAAAAAGAATGAATGTAAATTTTCAAGATAGATTGAAAAGGAGAAAACGAGATTTTTAGAATATAAGCATGAGAAAAGAATAATCCACTTGCACTAGTGCTTGGAAAAGCAAATTCATATACTGCAAGCATCAGAAATATATACACAGGGATTTTATGTGTAACATGAGTCCCCGACGACAGCATCCCTTCAACCGACTGGCCTAATTTTCTTTGATATTCAAATAACCCAACCACTTAATCGTAGTAATAAAACCCCAACAGTGAAGATCAAGGTGGCGATATCAGTAAGTCAAAGAAACCACTGAAGTTAGGACCTTGGTGGAATATCCACGCCAAGATCTAAATAAAATTGAAAAGTTCATATTATTGGGGAAAAGTGCGAAAAATACGTATCTCTTCCCAAAAAGAATGAATGTAAATTTTCAAGATAGATTGAAAAGGAGAAAACGAGATTTTTAGAATATAAGCATGAGAAAAGAATAATCCACTTGCACTAGTGCTTGGAAAAGCAAATTCATATACTGCAAGCATCAGAAATATATACACAGGGATTTTATGTGTAACATGATGTATACACACTTCATTATGCAAGTTGCCCCATAAATCTGAATCTACAAGTTTCACCTTTCTGTAATCTTTCATCAGGCCCAGTGGTGTCAAAAAGTGTTCTGGTTCAGCGAATTCTGGTGGATCTCATGAAAGGTTGAGTAGCGTCTTCATCTGTGTAATGCAACATAGCAGAAGACATTTTGAAGGTAGTTTGTAAATCGTTTCTCTTTATACATTTTGTTACCAAAGATTCAGAGTATAAAAGCAAAGTGCTTTGACTATTTAAGATGAAAAATAAGTATTAAGCAAAAATATGATTAAAGATAATCATATAATATTGATGGCAAATTATATGAGATTCGAAGAGTTAAAAACAAGATAATAATAAAAATAAATAAATTTTTTGTTAGTAATGCATTTCATTAATATTTGTCTAGTAATCTCACTGCGTTGATCACGGCTCGGACGAGGGTGAGGCAGGTGAGGCACTTGCCTCAGGTGAACAAATAGAAGGGGCGCCAAATTAGCTATTCGATCAAAAATGCAGAAATTTATTTTTAGAACTTATGATTTTTAACTTAATTTTGGAATACATCAGTGAATATTAAAAGAACTTTGCGTTGTAAACAATGCAGCTAGATCCATTATTTGTCAAAAAATGATCAAGCTACATATTTTCCTTGTTTGGCTCATAGTATAAATTTAGTATGCAAAATGCCGTTTCAACAAATTCAAGTATGCTAATATTTTTTGGCACTGTACAAAGGATTTATAACTTTTTTGTATCTTCAAGGAGTAGATGGGATGCACTTATGTCCGTTTTGAAAACAACGGTAAAAGGTCATACGGATACACAATGGTCATCAAGAGATAATGCTGTTAAAGAATTAGATCTACAAATAACATAAGTATATAGATTATTGAAAGATATTGCTTAAAATCACAAATCTTTGAAATAGGCTGAAAATAACAGCATTTTGAAACAAATCAATTTAAAATTTTTATGTTTGTTATCTGCGTGAAATTTAATAATGCAAGAAATCGAAGTAAATAATGCCTTGCAGTCAAAAACTATAACTGTCTATAAAGCCGCACTCTTAACAGAGGGACTATGTCTTTCATCGCAGGAAATGAAAGAAAATATTTCTCAATGCATTTTTGAAAAATGTAAAACTTCAGCTTTAGATTTGAATATATCATCAGAATTTGAAGAGAAACGAAAACGAAAAGTTAATTAATCAAATTGTGAGGAATCAATTGATATAAATTTTAGTTTTTCAGAAAAATATATTTTTATAGAAATTAAAGAAGTGTTCGACGTTTTAATTTCATAATTGAAATGGCGATACGAAACGTTAAATGAAATCTGTTCCGATTTTCAATTTCTAACTGGTGAACAATTTGTAAGACTTAGTGTAATTCTCAGTTACTGTAGAAAGTGACGAATCTTAAGAACTAGTTAGCGAATAATCGCTTAAGTTCGTGTGACAAAAAACAACAAGATGGAAGAGTAACTAACCCTATATTATTCCAATAAGATTTAACAAAACTCCGTCTTGGAGTGTACAATCAAAGCCGACACTTGGGCTTGAACTTAAGAGACTAAGAATTAAACTGAAACTAAGATTAACTAAAGAAATATAGTCGAAGCTATCAAGTTTCTAATGCAGTTGGCCCCTTAAAAACCAGATGACTGAAAAGCAATCAAGGGCCTTAGTAAGGTCGGTCGTAATAACAGCTTACAGAGAGAGAGTGGCCAAAAGGCAGACGCGCGTCAATCAGAAACTCTGATTCTCTCTTACTCTGCAAGTAAACCTCGCGGTTTAAATACCGCTCCTCCTCATTAAATATTCAAAAAGATTCCAAAACTATGTTCTGGCCGGAAGTAGTAAGTTGAAATTAAGAATTTGACAGGAAAGGAACCCTAACTTAAAATTTAACTGTTAATAAAATTAACATAATTCTTACATATTAATAACATTAGATTTAAGTAATTTAAAGGCATCAGCTTATAACTTAGCACTTAAATATCCGAATGATATGAACGCTGAAAAAATTCAGTCAAAAATATCTAGTTTTAAAAACTATGCTATTTCAATAATTCCGGACACAAAAGCAGCTAAAAGCTTAGAAATAATTAACAATTATAATTTAGTTCAATCCTATCCGAATTTGGAAGCAGTGTTAAGAATTTCTTTAACGTTGCCAGTTACTATAGCTAGTGGAGGAAAAAGCTTTATCAAACTTAAAATAATAAAGGATTATATGAGATCTTCACTACGCCAAGAGAAACTTTCAAACATGGTCATTCTCTCTATAGAACATGAGTTAAGTAACCAAATAGATTTTGAAAAAAATATTGATGAATGTGTTTCTTTAAAAGCAAGAAAAATTAAATCATAAATATGTTTGAAAAGCTTATGCCATAAATTTTTGAGCAGATATTTTACTTGTACTACTTAATATTACTTGCCATTTTCAAAAAAGATATTTTTAATGTTTTCCCTTTCAAAATAGTTAATCATTACATATGTTTCATTTTGTGGAATATACAGTTATAATTAAATATTATTTTAAGATTTATTGTATTTTCACTTGAAATAGTTACTTTTAATGAACATAAAATGTATATAAATATAGTTACTTTGTTTTACATATAGAATTATATGTATATATGTGCAATCATGCATATATATATTCAAAATAAAAGGAATTAAAAGTAAATTAAAAATCCTATGACTTGTA